AAAAGTAGATCTATAGCTTTAATGTCAAATACCGCAACGGTTTCGCCTGTAAAATTTCTAAACAGTTTTTAAAGTTCTTGAAAGGTTGTGAAATCTGGTAAGTAAGCTCCACTTTATGGAATTCTTAAGGGAAACCCATCTACAAAAGCAGGAGTAATGATATCCGTACGGTCGGTTGAAAATGCACTTATGATGACGTATTTTTGGAATTTTTGTCTCCAGCTGAACATTCGGTCGGTATGTGGCAAGATTCCGTATGCACACACACACGCACATCAGGCATAGTCTATAACCAAATACCACTACTACCGGCATACCGAGCCTTCATCAAAATGATCGATGATTGTCAATGCTGTCTGACCGGCCAGGCAGCCAAATTGGAGGGGACGAAAAAGCGGTGGTGGTAGTGGTGGTGTTAGTGATGGCAGGAAGCAGACAAAAAACGGTCGAGGGGACTTACAGCCACTGAATTGCACCTGTTCCATTGGGAAAGAGCCAGCCGGTGGTGAGTAGAATGGTCAAGAGGAGTTGGAGCGACCCCCCAAAGGGTAATTTAATAGTCCACACCATTGGCAGGGACTTTCAGCGTCAAATCCACCAACGATGATAGTATGCCTGGGCGTGTTATACCCACGTGAGTAGTACCGCTTTCCTTGTGTGTGCAGGAGGGAGAGGTGAAGCCGGTGACGGAAGTAGTGTGAGCGGAAGGTGATGTTGTGACGATGAGCGAAGGAGGCAACTGTGTAACAGCGGCGGACGCGAACGATTCTTTAAACCCCAGCGTAGCCAATCAGCGGTGACTGTGCTGTTGGGTGGTTACGCGCGCACCGCCACACAGTTGCAGTAACGGACGCCGTGCGCTATTAGCGGTCCTTTTTCCGATTATTTATTTGTTTGTTTTGTTGCAGGTGCCCAGTGAATATGCTGTCATTACAAATTTTTTTAAGTTATTTGCATTTATCAACCGCTTAAATAAAGGTGATGGCTTTGAATGGGTATTAAATCAACGGCGATGACGCTTAAAAAGCCCTAACAGGAACAAACTTTACATGTAAATCCTTGACTTAAAAAGCTAACTTTTTTGGCATCTCTACGACATGCTACAGTAGTTGAGCGACTAGAATTGCATTATTCACCATGCATAATTTTTTAAGCACATAAACGACCATATCCATAATCTTTTATCCAGAGAGTTTTTTGCTATTCACTGCAAAAATTTTAGTTAGGAAATCATTTTGCTGGTCCACTTAATTCGCAATTTAATGATTTCATTTCCCATAGTAGAATTAAGCACAGATTTAAGACATAAAAGTGGGCAGACCCTATAAATAGAGCACTGATTGACAGATGTGTTGTCTGACCCTAGTAGTTTCATCGCATTTCCTACCGTTCGTGTCCTGCATACGCCTAGAAAGAGCATTTTGTCGGATAATTTACACATGTTTTAAACAAATCTGAGCGATGAGCGATCTTTGTTTAATCTGGTGTCTCAGGCACACTTTGAGGTGTCTATTGAAACACACAGGTGGACTCATTTCATACGCCTTCTCTTCCAAATTTCGTGGTAATGATTTCATATTTAATAATTAAGCTGTGTTGCAGATCCATTTCTATAAGTTACTGACAAGGAAATCTAGACTTGCATCGCATCGATGCTTGACATGATGGCCTACTAATTGGTAGAGCGAATTCGCCCTTTCTTTGAGCTCCATTACATTATCTGAGAGCTTCTTTGGCTTTAAATTGCCAACAAAATTCATTTGAATTTGCAGTTTATCCTAGACACCATCAAGCAGCAAACACCTTGCATCCTTCTCCTTGAAATTTGTCATCAAATTGTTACTGCAAGTGGGGCTAGGGGAGGAGGTGGAGAGAATGAATGAATAAACGTTACTGTGTGTATTCATTTGCTTTGTTGTATGACAGCCCAAGTCATTGATGACAGCGCCTTTGTTCTTCCTCCGAGACTAGAAGGAATCGTGTGGACTGTCGTCTTTTGAGGATTACCTACTAAGCGTTAAACTTATACACCTGCTGGTTGCCATTAAGACGCCCTGAAGGCTTAAGGCATCGCATTCTTTCTTTACTGCTTGAAGTCGGAAATGGGTCTGATGCAATGACAACCCAAAGTGTTCAAAGATCTCCTGCCACCTTGGGATTGCGGTGAGTGCAGCAGAATAGAAGATACTCGAGTTGTTTATTGGGTTCTACAATTTTTACCATTGTAGTGGAGGGGGACTTTGACAAGGCTTGTCCCAGTTATCCGCATATCAAGCCAAAGAGGACCTAAGATTGTAGCTGATACTTCTGGCATAAAGCACCCCTTAGACTGCATACTTTCATGATAGGCTTAAATAATTATAGTAAGCTAGCAAGGTATCTGTTGGAATGATTAGCCACATTGTGTAAATTCTGCTCGAAACTGTTCTAATGCCAGACGTTCTAACAATATTTTAATAGTTCTTTTCGAAAAATGACATTAAATAATAGGTTTCGTACTATACTCGTGTTGTAACTACTATTCTTCTTCAAGGAAGAAACTTATGCTTTTTATCCATCATTTTCGCCTTGTCCCTAGTATCGTGGCTACCTTAGGCAAGCCACTACCTTGCTGGTTTGGTCAGTTTACCCAAACAATGCTTTTTAGTTGGAAGTAAGTTGACATCGGACTAATTTTTCCACTATCTGAGCGATCTTCCACGTAATCTTTTGGCCACATTCACTAGGCCAGAATTTCTCCTTTGAAGAGGAAATACGGTACCATACCTCGATAGACGCAAGTCAGAAGTCCTATTTTACACCATTTAATAGCGGTGCAAAATAAAACTGAAACAGAATGCCTCTGAGGTAACAAATGCAGGAGTTCTTGGTCTTTTATGTAACGAAATATACTTCAAAAGAAGTAGGACATAAGTGAATTGTCCCATAGAAAAGGTGGTGGATCTAACGTTGACAAGATACTTTAAATTGTAGAATACAGGGAACTCAATCTTCTGCGTGAATGTATGCTATATGGAGGGGTGTACTCACAGCAATGATCACGATGCCTCAGTTTAGTGGTTTCAAATTCTCTAGTCGTACGTCAATCCCAAGAAAGGCTACTTAGAATTTTTAAGTAACATGTCGAGGCGCAAACAACAAACCAGGGACCATATTAAAAAAGAGGAACATCGACCATAGCCCACGTTGATATTTCATAGTTCTACCATGGCATCAATATTTGCACACCGAAATGACTCACTCAAGTGGTGTTTAAGAACTGTAAAATGTAATTATCTTCAGACTATGAGCAACCTCTTCACCTACTTTACAACATTAAATTTACTGAAATTAGTTATAACGCGATTCGTAGCAAACAGTTATTATGACTTAATGAAAACCATTTGCCAAATATCTGTAAAGTCAAATGCATGTAGAAAAGTCTGAAGGTCACATATGCGTGATCTCGGTGGTGGGTATGTCAGTATGTTTCCTACAGGCACTGGCTCTGTAACCAGATCGACGCCAACATTCGATCCTCCGCGTTACGGTTCCCCACACCGACTACACACCATTTTAATCACTTTGCTTGAGCCTCTAGCCCTGATAAACTCCTCTAACAAGGCCCTGATTAGGCTGTATGGCTTTAAGACATTTTAGAGGGGTAGTGCAAGTCGTAATACGAATGGTTTGCACAACACGAAAAAAGTCAATGCAGTAGAAAATGCAAGGCCTTGTTATGAAGATGTTCCGTTTAGCTCAAAAGAGAAAGAAGGGCCAAAAAAATGGAACACGGGACATCTTTTCAGGACGCGTAATTTACTTGTAAACCACACCAATTGAGACCGCAAAGCAAAGAACCGCTACTTTACTCACTGTGTAATTATTGCTCGATCTCACTGACTTACTCCAACCCATGTAGATGTGATGACTCTTTTCTGAAAGCGCACTACAACAAATCGCTAAGAAAGAAAGAAAGAAATGTAGGAACGCCGTCTCATAAGGATTGTAAGGAATTTAAAAATTACTAACGAAATATATCAACCTCCAGCAGCCTGTGGACAGTTATGGGATGATCCGAAAGTTGCGTTCACTCTTCCTACCCTCGCTTTTGTGATAGAGCAACGATATGGAGACATGTACGTAGAACTTTGGGTGTCCCGAGGGTATTTACGCAACTGCAATGCTTTAATTGCATGTTCAACTCTCTATTTTGTTAATGGGTCATTTAGGACTCCCATCATTCTACACCTACGGGGAACCGTGACCTTCAAGCCACGCCAGTAACCTCCAAGACCGAGTACTGTGCCCTCTTTCATCTTCCGGGAAGTCTTGCTTTGCTATATGATAACTAAACTCTTAGATTACTTAGTCCGAACATGCAAATAAAGAAACAGTTCCAGGCTTTGATGATTGTGCGTTTCAATAATAATTCTCACAGACTGATGCCAATAAAAAAACAGATTCTACTTAACCATCATTATACCTTTTCTTGTCTTTTTCATGTGTTTTTTTATATAATTTATTGAAAAAATTCAGAAGAAAGCTTAAAAAATACTCCAAACTCAGGTTTTTAACCTAACTGAAGTATATTAAAAGCATAGGGCTTGGCATCCCAACTTTGGTAATCCATTTACTATTCGAACATTTGTTTTGCACAACTTAGTGTTCCTGGACGTTGAATAAAAATGGGATTCACTGTTGGTTCAAAAGGCATTCACGGCTTGTGTCGGCTTAACAGAGACAAACAAATGTTTGTCCAACGGGGAGACTACGGGATACATAAAAATCCTATTCAATAACAGTTTCTTTTCGTTAAAAATGATGGTTCGACAACGTGATTTAGAAATATAGGCACCGCAAACTTCAATTATGGGTCTAACCTCTTCGACGTAATATTCATGAATTTGTCCAGTGGCTGCACATTAGAGATAACTTATTTGCTTCGCCTAAAATCTAACAAAATCTGTCGTGTTTTTGACTTGACAAACTGAAACACGTTTTGAAGTTTTTGGTGAGTCACTGATAAAAACGCACCTAAATGGGCATTAGGCGACACCTAAAGTTAAAAAACTAAACTTGCGGATAGTGTAATCATCTACAACATAAAAGCAAGTTACCGCACACAAAATTTTACCGACTCTAGGTCAATAACCTCTAGAAATGAATAAGTTTATTCGTAATAACAATTTCAAGGTCGCAATAAACAGCTAATCAGACAAATTCATTATTTGCTTGGCAAAGGCTAGACTTTTGACAACGATGAGTTTGCCAGGTTAGGACACAAAACATAAAATGTCTTTAAAATAATAACTTGTTTAGTGGTTACAAGTCATTTCTTCCCGCCAATCAAAACGACAGCTCCATGGGCTTCCGTCATTAGGAAGGTACCAAGGTGCTTGACAACATTTCTGGCATATTGTCTTACAATTTTATAGGGAGGTAGATTTTCAGTTACAAGAGTATTTCGAAATTGCGTGCTTTGTGGGGTCTCATGGTTTTCAAACTAGAGAATTGGGTGTCATACACTTTCCTAGCACGTCGGTGTAAGCGACACGAAGAAACACACAAACCCAAGGCTCGAGTACTTCACATAGGTGGCGTGTCTGTAAGGGTAGACGTACCTGATCAGCCAGTCCATCTAAGTGCGCGCGGTTCAGCGTAAATTCCTCCTGTGTAATTCAATTAAACACTCTTTAAGCGATTACTAACTCCACTGGTGAAGGAATAAGGGAGGATTTGACATCACAGACTGCTTCTGCGGCAACCTAGCCAGAGTGGTTAACTTAAAAAGTGTTTTTATAGCCAGCCTCTTTTTATGCTTCGCCTTTATTCCCCAAAACATTTTGTGTAAGTGTAGGTTAACGAAATCATCAGAATTTACCATGCTACGCTGTGAAATATCAGATTGTAAGATTCACTGATATTTCTGAGTGAAATGCAAACCTTCGTGTTGGCATCCCTCCTCCACTGCTGTAGGCGAGCTGAGGCATAGAGCCATTTAGCTCCAGGCACTTGAGAGTTGCCGTGTCTATTCACTTCGTTAAGCGCTCGATCGCCTCACCTGAGTACATTTACTTTTTTGTCTTGTCACCGCCTCACTTGAGTGAGTTTGCTGTGGCGCAATCCGAGATTTCATCAAGGCGTCAGCAGATAAACGAGTTAAGGAGATAAGGGGACTGCACGCTTTAAGGGGTAAAAAAGTCAACGACTTTTTCATCGAAAAGTGAATGTCTCATCAAGTAACCGATTTTCCCACTTAATTTTGGCGCTCCATTTAGTCAAGTCATTAAATGAAAAGTCAGTGCACACAATTTATTTGGAGTCAACTTTACTCAACTTCAACTCTAAGCTAAGCATGAGGTTTTAATCGAAATTTGCAAATGTGCTACCAACTTGTGAGATTTACTAGGGCTGAATTGCACATCAGATTCTACTACATCTTGGCATAACCAGAGATGCTCTACATTGTCATTTTGAGAGTTGCGACTGCAGTGAAACAGGTTTTACTCCTGAATTTGCATTGTTCTTAAGAATTCGCGCTGGCTTTTCATTATTCTTCCTAGAAATACCTCCCTTGACGCATTTGAACTCACAACCTGCGGTCACTTTTATGCTCATACAATACTACTTACATTCGCTAGCTGTAACTGTTTCAGTCGTTTACGCATTCCCAGTCACTGTCTAGAATATGATTTTTCGAGAGCAGAATATTTTGCTGCTTTTGTGCTATAACAGTTTTTGATAGCCCGACAGGTAGATTTCAATTATTTGGCAATGCCACAATGAATTTTTGTTAAATCACGTATTCGAACAAGAGAGCAAATTTGTCATGATTTCGTGTTTTACCCTCGACCATTATTCAGTGTTTTTAAGAAATTAAAATTAAAAATACAAGCAGTAGCAATGAACGGATCATGGCTCATGACTAGTGGTGATCAAATTTGGTGAAGAATGTGGAACTCCTTGGATGTCGATTTTTACAATGCAGTCATGCTAAAAAGCCACCCAGCATTCACTACTAAATTTTATTTATAGTTTTAATTTGTAAATTCGCGTTTTTCCTATATTTGCTATTTCTGTCCAGGTAGAGTACAACATTTACTCCCGGCTTGCCAGTTTGCCACTAAACTACTGCTAATGTAATACGATAGTGGTTTATCCCTCGGTTCTGGTGAGGCGCCACTTTTGTACTTCGAATTAGCCCCCTTGTACCTCGCTGGGTGGGCTGGCCTTTTGGGCCATGCCAATAGCCCAGACACCTTCTCCA